GGGGGGGGGTTATTTCTTGGATAAACACATTTCACATGAAATCCATCGCCAGGGTGATTTTGTGACATTGTGTATTTTTGTTTTTGTGTATGTGTGGAGGGGGATTTGGTTATTCCAACTAGGTAATTCTGAGCTGTGTAGGTGAACCAATGTGTGACTAGTAATTGTAATTTATATTATCCCGAATGACTTTTCCTAAAGCGAGACGAAAAGCCACCGATATGGCGATGTGTATTGTGTTGTCTGGCTTGGACATACATGCTACAAATATCTATTGTTACATTTCCGGTGAAACAAATGCTTTCTTTCTCTTTATGTTTCTCATTCTTGTTGTTCCGGTATTCTACAAGCTACATTTCAAATACAGCATCATGGTATCTTTAGAATTTACAGTTTTTGTGTCACTTAAAGTTTTTTTTCCAAACGAGAATACACTAGCACATAGTTTCATACCCTGGATGAGTTAATGTATTATATATGTAAGCCATCATGGCTTTTCAAACCATTTCTGATATCTAACAGACACAAGTACCAAGTAAATTTGGTTGCAACAATAAGCTTAGGAAAACCTCCTATCTTGGTCGCGATGTACAGAATCCTCCAAATGAAGCAGATGCAGGCGAAGAACATGAGTTGTCTAAACAAGACATAACATGGCGTCCCCACGTGTAGTTTGCCTGCATTGTGTCATTTTAACAGATTAAAGGACAAAGGAACGTTTGACAATTGAATCATGACTGAGCTTTTTTGGGCACATTAGTAGGGTGTTTGTAATTTACAGAATTATCAGTGTAAATGTTGGTTATGGGTTTCATTTCTCTGATGAGAAATCAAGATACAATCTTTCGTTTAGTTTGTTTAACAGTATTGGTCTAGTTTTAGAACATTGCTATTTGATAACTGTGACTTTCGTGAACTTTTTTAAACTGCATCTTTTGCGAATCGAAGAGACTGGAAATGCCTAGGTTTATATACAACGCGTATGGTCCTGACCTTGATACAAGAAGATAAGAATGGCCTTGTATAGTCAGTTTATTCCCCGTAACCTTCTAGTTTGAAAAAAAGTCTCTTATGTTACAATGTTACAACATTTCCTGCTTTTTCAAACTTGTCAGTATTACATACTAGTATCAGAGCTCTGTGTTACTTCAAGTTACTTTCAAATTGACTTTTTTATCAAGTAATTTTCTTTTAACTGGGAGAGTAGAACTGACCGAAGTCAATGGCTTGGGAAGGAGGTGTGAAATTAGGCAGTAAACAAATGCAAAACACGGGGCGGGACAGTGGGGTGCAATTATCGCCTGGTCTGCTGCATATTCAAGCCTTTTCCCTAGCACTTTGCTCATTGTAATATTAAAGTAGGTCATTATAATAGTATAATGAGGCTTTCCTGGGGGTGCTGTGAACCAGGCCTTACGGTACCAGAGCGTTTTATATATTATATTTTGCAACGTTGGTATTGAAATATGCCACACAGCTAGACATATGGACATTTTTGCACGACTCAATCTAGATTCATGAAGGAAGGGCGTTTATGTTATGTGTAATTTGGTGCCTTTCATTCCACAGACTGTATCTACACGGAAAGAATATAACAAATATTATCATCATGCAAGGATCTCAGTATGTTGATTCAAGGACATTAGTTGATTTAAGCTTGGACAAACAATCTGTTTGATAATTACAGAAGTGTCACTGAAGAAACATGCTTTCTTCACTATTTCAGAAGATGAGGTTGAAAGAATAATTCTTAAATGGTAGAATACATTGGATTTGAATTTAACATATCTTTCACAAAGTTTCAGTGAAACCTGCGCCCTTTTTTTGTTTTCAGAAAACAGGAACTTTTTATGACTCTAAGCTGTTGAAGGGAAATGCATATACAGTACATTGTGCCCAAAGGCTTTGAATGATTTATATCATATCCATCTACAAAGTGGAATTTTAAAGTTTTTTTTTCCTGTCAATCTTTTCATAAAGACCACAAGATGGGAGACATGACAACTGCCGACTCACTGAAGCCTCAGCCCAACATTATCTCCAGGGCCTCCACACGCCTGGCACAGGTCTGGGTTTAGTTCAGTTCTAATTCTCAGTCAGGATGAATGAATGGTTTATTTGAAGTGTATACATATCGAAGACACACAGTATTCATAATATTAGACAGTAGCCTCAAAGGCAACCATATTAAGGTTGCTTGAATTGCACCATGGTTGACATAGATAACTGTTTTACTAGAAACATTGCTCATACATTATATATAATATAAGGTTTTCTTTACAATTATTATAAATGATCTATTACTAGGTACAGTCAGATTCTACAGGATTGTGTAATACCATAACATAATAACATATATGTGGATTATATTGGTGGCAATAGCAAATGCCTGATGATGTACAACTAGTCTAGAACAATCTACTAAGTAATTTGGACCAGGATTGACTCGTATTGTATTGTATTGGTGACTTAGAGCTCTGGGACTAGGCTATTCTGCTACACTTTCTAGACAAAGAGTTATTATACTGGGAGTTGTAACAAGGCAGTACGTAACACCCATAATGCAATATGCTGTGATGAATGCGATAGATGGTACCACAGTGACTGCATTGGGCTATGTTCTCAAGTATACAGTGCTCTAGAAACCCACCGATCATACTCGTGGGTATGTTGTGACTGTGGTATACCCAACTTTGCATCGGCCGTATTCGATATCACTGATGAAACATTCCATTCAGTAAACTCATTTGACACGCTGAGTTCTGACTCAAGTTTACCAGACGAAATCCCAATGGCTTCATCCACCCCACTTAAATCAAAGCAGGGTAATTCTCAAACGAGGGGTCATAGTCACAAGAGATCTAAAAGTAAACTTCTGCTAGTAAACTGTCAGAGTGTGCGGAACAAAACAGCTGAACTGGCGACAGTAGTTGACACTTACAAGCCAGATATAGTAGCAGGTACAGAGTCATGGCTCAACCAAAACATAGCAAGTAGTGAAATATTCCCCAGCAACTACATAGCACACCGGAAAGACAGACAAACTGGCCAAGGAGGTGGTGTATTTCAGGCCAACAGAGATGATCTAATTGTTACCCATAGGCCAGACCTTGACACAGACTGCGAGGTTCTGTGGACACAAACTCAACTTGCAGGAAGGAAACCACTGATAATAGGTACATACTACAGACCCCCATCAGACCAGGGCAATAGTCTGGATGAACTTGACAGGTCTATAGGTAAAATGGGAGCAAAAATAAACTCTGACAATGTGATCATTCTTGGCGATTTCAACACCCCTGGCATCAAATGGGATACTACTGTAGCTGACAACAGTCAGGCCTACACAGGCCAAGCAGAGAAACTACTAAAGCTAATGGATAACCACGGGTTATTTCAAACAGTCCAGGAACCAACTAGAAATGGTAATCTCTTGGACCTGGTCTTAGTTAATAACCCCAACATAATTGAGAAGACCACAGTAGTCCCGGGGATAAGTGACCACGACATGGTTCTAGTGGACGTTAACCTGGCACTGAAACAAAACAGGAAACCTAAGAGAAAAGTGTACATCCGCACAAAAGCCGACGAACCAGCCATTAAGAAAGACCTAAAGGATTATGCAACTAACTTTCACAAAAGAACTCAGGATATGTCAGTTACACAGAAGTGGTCAGACTTCAAAGACAAAATGAAAGACACGATGAACAAGCACATCCCAAGTAAGATAACATCAAGCAGATACAACTTGCCTTGGTTCAACAGAAACCTAAGGAGGCACTGTCGTAAGAAGCAGCGGCTCTATAACAAAGCTAAGAAAACAGGCCAAGAGGAAGACTGGAACAAATATAAGAGAGTTAAGAAGGGAGTTCAGAAAAGCATAAGACATGCACACTCTAAATACGTGGCAGACATACTGGGAGAAGCTATAGTTGACAAACCCAAAACATTCTGGTCGTACATAAAAGGACTGAGGAAAGACCTTGTCGGGGTAGCACCCCTAAAGGTGGGAAATACCATCATCAGTGACAGTGGGAAAAAAGCAGAAGTACTCAGTTCACAGTTCAAAAGTGTTTTCACAGAGGAAGACACCACAGATATGCCATCTGTAGGCCAGCCCTGTACTCCTCCAATGGAACATATAGTAGTTTCTACTGATGGTGTCGAAAAAATGCTTCAAGGTCTCAATCCCTCTAAAGCATCCGGACCAGACCAAATACCACCGTGGTTCCTCAAGTTGACAGCTAGTGAAATCGCGCCTGTTCTAACCAATATTTTCCAACACTCGCTAAACACTGCAGAAATCCCTAAAGATTGGAGGGATGCAAATATATGCGCCATCTTTAAAAAAGGAGATAGAGCGGTCCCCAGCAACTACAGACCTGTTTCACTGACCTGCATATCCTGCAAACTTCTTGAACATATTATCCATAGCCAAATCATGAAGCACCTAGAAAGTTACAGTATATTAACGGATTACCAGCATGGATTCAGAGCCAAACGATCCACAGAAACACAGCTTATACTAACAGTCCATGACATAGCTGGCGCACTAAACAGTAAACGGCAGGTAGATTTAGCAATACTTGATTTCACTAAAGCCTTTGATAAAGTCCCCCATGGCAGGCTCATCTCAAAACTGGAGTATTATGGAATCCAAGGCCCTACGCTGAATTGGTTAAAGGCTTTCCTGACCAACAGGGAGCAAACAGTAGTGGTTGAAGGGAAGGCGTCGGCTCCAGTTAAAGTAGCGTCTGGGGTCCCTCAAGGAACCGTCCTGGGGCCATTGCTCTTTCTCTTGTATATAAATGACCTACCAGATCAGCTTGACTCAAATGTGAGGTTATTTGCCGATGACTGTCTATTGTATGTAGAGCTTTCTACACAGACCGACTCACAACTTCTCCAAAAAGACCTGAACACCCTGGAAGAATGGCAAAGCAAATGGCTCATGCAGTTTAAT